ACGACCAGAGTCATGGAACAAATTAAGTTCGTAAACCGAGGTACCACTGTATTTCAGTAACAGTGAGATCAATCCAGTTCTTGCTTTCACCTGACCCTTGTTTTGTGGCCCTTTTTGCTACCATATAAAAAAATCCATCCTGCTCAGCACAAAGCATTCAGATGGAATAATATTCCTCAAAAATAGATAAAGATGGTTTTGAGATTTAGGGGCAACTCTTGTTTTTCTGTGATGGAGACTAGCTTTTCCCAACCTGGTGCCATTCAGATGCATTGGATTTTAGCTCCCTTAATTTCCCTCCAGTGTGGCCTTAATTCCAGTGTATCAGAAGGCATCTGGTTAGGGAAGACTGGTTTAAAATAGGACTACAGGTAGTCCTCGGGTTATGTCCATTCATTCAGTGACTATTCAAAGTTACAGTGGCACTGAAAAAATGGACTTACGATTGGTCCTCAAAGTTGTGGCTGTTGTAGTATCCCTGTAGTCATGTGATCAAAATTCAGGTGCTTGGTGACTGGCCTGCACTTACGACTGTTGCAGTGTCCCGTGGTCACATTCTCCTGCTCTGTGCGAACTGCCTCCACTTCAACTCCCCCCACCTGCCTATCTCTTCCCCCATCTCTGCCCTTTTAGCCTCCCTGCACAGCATGGCCAAGATACAGAGGCCACTGTATTCCGCCACCCGCCACCGCCCCCAGCTGACCTTCATCATCGTCTTCAGCTTGCCTCCTCTCCAGCAGGCTTGCTTCTGCCACTGCCTCCCCAGCTGCTGGGCTCCTGGCGGGCCCACCCTGCTTCAGCAGTATCAGCCTACCGCTGGCTGGGGGTCATACTGATGTGGCTGCTCCTCAGGGAGGGGCTTATGTGGGCCCGCCCTGGACCTGTCTGGTGCCCGGGTGCAAAAGTCCGGGTGTGACCTGCCACCTGCACCAGCTTCTGCTTCTCCTCCTGGTTCTGTTTCTCCCCACAAAGAGCTGCTGCCAATATGTGAGTCCCTCCACTGGGCCTCATTGTTGCTTTTGGGGTGGCTCTCTGGCCTTTGCACCACGGTGGCAAGGCAGGAGTGAGTGGTAACCGGGCAGCCCCAAGGTGTGTCTGGAGACTTTTGGGGTGGCTCTGGATGCAGTTCTGCCACTGTAACCTGCTGCTTCCTGCTTTGGTCCTGGGGCACACTGTGTGCTCTACTTGGGGAGTTCCTGCCTGCAAAGGTGCCACATGGTCTGGTCCTGCCCGGGGAAAGGTGCCACCACCACTGCTTGTGGCCCCCATGCTAAAGTTCAGCTGAGCCAGCCAGGACTTGGGTAGGAGAGGCTGTGTCTCCCACAGGGGGCTGGGGTTGGGTGGGGTGGGGAGTTGAGGGAGATGAAGACAACAAAGGTCAGCTTAGGGCGGCAGCAGGGGCCAGTGGTGGAATACAGTGGCCTCTTCATCTTGGCCATATTGTGCAGGGAGGCCAAAAGGGCAGAGATGGGGGAAGAGATAGGCGGGTGGGGGGAGTTGAAGAGGCAATTTGCACAGGGCAGTGTGAGGTCCTGGCCTAATGGCCGCAACTGGGACTGCCAGGAATGCTGTTGCTAAGCGGTGTGGTCATATGATGTTATGCTTAACAACTGCTTCACTTAGCAGTGGAAATTCTGGTCCAGATTAGGGTTGTAACCCAAGGACTACCTGTCTGACCTGATGGCACTCGGTATCCTTTATCCTTACAGAGGAAGAGTTCATACCAGACCCAGCAATGAAAGCGAGCATCCTTTTGAACATAGGCTTGAGCCACCCCACCCTTGGGGCCACTCGCAAAGTGAGCCTGGCCCAGCGGGTACCGCTGAAAGATGCTGGAAAGCCATCAGTTGTTTGTGACAACTTGCAGGTGAGCAACATCAGAGCTCTTGGTTTCCCTTTGTGACCCTAGGTGCAGCAGGATGCTTACCTTGCCTATGTGCACCTTGGGCCTTCCCTTAATCCTGTTGTCTGGATGTTGGTGCATTGCTAAGTAGGTTTCAGCTACAAGGAGGAGTTTTAATCTGTGGTGGCTGTTGGGCACTGACTTTATTTTCTGTCCGCAGGGTGAAGGGGCTTCTCTGTCCCAGCCCCGCATGAGCGTTCTGTCAGCAGGGAAGTTTGGCCGTGTGTCCTGTCGTTCTACTCAGGGCCTTAAAGGTACCGTTCATAGAGGACCTGGAACTTAATTTAAGTCTTGGAGCCTTTCATGACTACATCTCTGTAATTTCTAACTTCTCTCTTGCTTGTGTTGCAGGTCTAGAGAAGTTGGAAGCTTCTGGAGCCCAACAAACCAACACCCCCCATGGGAGATGTTCCACTGTTGAATGTTCACCTTATGGACTAGCCAGAAGAATTCCTATTACCAATTCACAATCCTTGGTTTGTACTTGAGGCAGATGGAGAATCTCTGAACTGTATCCTTAGTATCCAGCTAGTTCTGACTAACCGTAGGCAAATGCTTGACAAACCCATATATGTTCAGCACTGCTGGGTTCTTGGAGACAAAGGATACCCTTTATTACTCTGGATTCATATATTAGATGGGCATTTCCACTCCTGGCCCATATTTCATGAGGGCTAAAACCATGTTTGCTGGTTTCTTGTTCGTTTAGGCCCAACTCAGAAGTGATGACTTTTAATCCATAAAGCCCTCTTTGTCTTGAAACCAAATACGTCTGCCCGCTTCTCTGTTGTGGATGTGAACTTGTGGCCCACCAGAAGTTGCTGAACTGTAAGTCCCAGCATCCCTCACCACTTACCAAGCTGGGTGAGACTGCTGGGATTTGTAGTTCACAATATCTATAGTGCAACAGGTGTGTCACTCCATTCTGTATAGATTTATCTAGCTGTAGTGTTATCTTTGGGTTCTCCTTCATTTGCCCTCACCATCAAAGGATATGCAGGTGTCAACAGATGGCAGATGGTGGCATTCTAGTTATGGTGCATCTTGCTCGGGGATACTAACACCACTGCTTTTAGTGACAGGCTCAAATAACCCAGGTTCTTCATGGGAAAGTTTAATGTTTTTAATTGGCTGCGTATATCAGATGGAAAGTGATATCCCACATCTTTTACTGTTGAAGCTATCATCCCTAGATGGAAAGGCAAAGCAGGCTAGAATAATATAAAAACATGTTAAGCTGTCCTATAGCAAGATGGTCCATCTATCTCAGAACTGTTTCTTCTGACTAGCAGCACCCCTGCAGAGTCATAATTGGATGTCGTTCTAGAAACCTGCATACAAAATGTGCTGTTATCACTGAATGATGAGCCCACCTTGTTCGATTTGCCCCTTTTGAAGTGTTCTCTTGCAGTTCTCTGTGATTCCATCAAGTCAGTCTCTGAATGCTTTCTCTTGTACTGCACCAGCATCGCACGCCTTGGACATGCAACCGTATACCTGTTACCTCCAGCACTAAGGACAACAGGGTGGGTATCCATCACTTGAAAAAGATATAGCAATGGAAGACTAGGCAGCTATCTAATTCAGCTTCTTGTAGCCAGGGAGGCTCTGGTTCAGAAGCTGGGCCCTCCTGTTTGACAGCTGGTCCAGCTTCCTGTGCTCCACATGCTGGAGAGGAGGCAAACTTAGATTAACCTTGCTCTCAGGGCTCAGACGTGCTGGGTTGAAGTGTAGGCATTCAAACCTACAACAAACCATAATTTCAGGTTGTGGCTTAAGGTGTTCTTCCCCAACCAGAATTCAACCAGTTTCATTATTTTCCCATTCACATTAAAAGTAAATATTTGTCCACAGCTCCTGGTGATCGGCTGCACTAGACCTCACAAAAACATGATTTAGCATTTTGTGTGAACTGGATGTCCGTTACAAGCCAGTTTCAAAATGGTGATGTGCATCATGACATCATCATACAAATTTTGCAATTACACACTTGCATCATAATATTTGATGCAAGTACATAAGCTGCACCATTTTTCTGATGGTGTCATTTGTACCCTGGCAGATGCCCATGGATGGATGCTCATGTGTTGATATGCACAATCTTGTGGCAGTGTATTGTGTCAGCTGCTACATGTTCCTGTAAGAAGAATTAGATTTCTGTTGTTCTTTGGGGAAAGTAGCATTTATTTTTAATTATTATTTTATTAGTTTGTTTATAATTAAATTTGTATGCCGCCCTACTTCCAATGACTCTGGGCAGCTCACAAGTAAAAAAAAAAAAAAAATGCTTTTCAAGTCAATAGATATCTGCCTCTGTATCTTTTCCATATGAAAGAATTGCTCCCAAAATTTGATTCTCATTATTGTTCCTTGGTTCCAGAGATAGAAAGTAGATGCAGGGTGATTTTATTATTTTGATGCTTTACCTTTTGGCTTATATAAGCATTCTGATGGTGAATGTACTTTCAAAATTTTGGCTTTAAAGAAATTTGAGTAAGTTGTCACTTCTTACTAAGAATGGGCAGTAATGAGCAATTTATTTTAATCCTCTAATTTGTTCTTCTCAGGTCAAGTGGTTAGACAGAGTCACCAGACAGATGGGTGCTATTGGCTCCAAGGAGGAGGGCACCAGTGTGCCCTGGGTAAGTGTCCCTATGGTGAATAATAGTGTTGCACAGATAGACAATATGTCTATAATTAGGGCTTGTGTTCCTCAGGTCACAGTGCATTCAGTCCATCTAACACATGGCCCAAAGTTCCTTAGTGGTACATAATTTTGGATAGTTCAGCCATTTTTCTTATTCATGTCTGCCACAAGCGAAGGTCTGTTATTATAAAATATGTCAAAGACAGTAGATACATAGATGTTCATTTAGATCTTGATGGAAGCTGGACCAGATAACTCTTGGTTAGGGTTAGTATTTTTGTTTTACTTAAAGAGGTAATCATGTGATTATAGCTGTCAAATTGCTAAGAGGCCAGCACAGCATAGCTTGTGTTTTGTGGTACATCATTGGTTGTTTATTCTTTCCCCTTTATCAAAGTTGCAAGTTACACAAATTGACTTCTGACTTTTTTAAAACATAAGATTGTGTTCCTAAAAACTGTAAAACCAGAAGTGATATAAACAGAAGCCGTTCTTTTGGCAGGCATGGCAAAAATATAGCAGCCATGCTAGGATGCTTGCTGGGACCAGCAAATCATTGCTGAGCAGAAGATGGGCAAGACGGAAAATCTTCCTCATGTTTCTGCCTGTTCTTGACAGCCCTTTGGTGGGATGTGTTTCAGAGGAAGTGATGTGACATTTCCCTATACACACACACAGGAGAAAATAGCTGTGCGCCTTTTTGATGACGAAATGGCAGGATCGGTGAAGAAAGTGCCAGCTGTTCCTGTGATGAGCACAGGAATGGGAAAGCTTCAGGTAGGGAAGGGAGGCTTCAGGGTGGGAGGTCAGAATTTGCTTTTTTTTTTTTTTTGCAGAAATGAGTCTTGAATGGGGAAGGTGCTGTGTGGTGATTACTTAACTGCAAGTAAAGCCAAAGTCTGAGGTTTACAGAAGTGGCTACTGCAGGCTGTAAACATGTGGTCTTTCCCCAAAGGCTTGGATTGGGCCCCCGGAATGGCTCTCAGAGGTGATGCTCACTGGTGATGTTAAACATGCAGAAGAGGGTGGTTATTAAAGATACGGGAAATAAGCAATGGCAGCCTCAGTGGCCTTGGCCGATCTTGAAAACCTAGACAGAGATGGCCCTGGTCAGTACCTGCCTAGCCTTGCAGGGCTCCAAGGGGTGCAGGCCAGATGAGGAAGCTGAATACGCTTCCCAGGAGAAGGCAGTGGCAAACACTTCCACGTAGTTTCCATGAAAACTCCATGGGCACGCCCGCTGAGTCTCCAGGAGCCGACTGCTCTGAAAGCCATAGGAGGTGCGGTGGCAGTGACGTTACAGGGGTGGATGGTCTGAAGTACTGCATAATAGCATGCTCTGGAGGTTCTCTGGGGGGAACTGCAGCTCATCTGCCTCTGGTACAGAGGAAACAAGCCCCATGCGGATGAGGTGGAGCAATGTTGCTTGCTAGGTGAGCTGATGTCTCCTGTGGATTGAGACTGGGGCTACCTTTTTCATCGCAAACCTCTGCATTCTTCTCCCTCCAGAGTATTGAACTCCTTGCCCAGCTCTTGCAGCAGAAGATGGATGGTCACGTTGATTATGAGGAGGCCCCTTCACTACAGGAATTGCACAAGCTCTTGACAGCTCACTGCTCATCAACCCCAGAGGCTTCCAAGCCTACCCTACCTTCCGCACCTCCACAGGATCCTGGGCCAAGCATGGGTGAGCGGGCCCCAGATTTGACTGGGGCTGCTACCTCTGCACTTAGCTCCCCACACACCATCTCCAGCCAGCAGCGTTTCTGCCACAGCCCCTCCCTGCAAGTAGTCAGCGGCCCCTCATCCAGTGCAAGAAGTACAGGTGAGGCAGGAAGGGAGGGAGGGAGGGAGGGAGGGATGGGTGAGGGCTACGTTGTGGGAAAGAATTAAACGTTCTGCTGATACGTTATGTGGAATGTAGTCTGGGCATCTCCCTTCTTGAGAATCCAAGACCAGGAAAGCTCACAGGGTAATTTGTGGCCAACTGCAACAAAAATATTTGTTTGCGGGGAAGACAGTGGAATGCTATAAATGGTGCATTGGGCCATTTTCCCCCTTTAAACTTGGGATGCGTATCGATCCAGTCCCAGTTCCACTATCCTGAATGCATCTTCAGGCTTTTCTTCACGTGTATCTTGCTGTTCCGCATACTGTAGTTGTGAGGAAAGGAGCTGGCAGACTCTGGGGTTCAGATCTGTATCTGCTGTGACACTCATTTTGAGAGTGACCAGAAGGATGTGACTAAATCAAGATGCATTACTCAGTACGGGATTACTTCTGTAAAGCCTTTCTTTATGATCAAGGATGATAGGATGCCACTGGAGGGGGCAGGGTTAGTATTTTCAGGCTTTTTACGACTTTTGAGAAGCACGGAAATTTTAAGGTGAGAAATGTGTGACTTTAAACCTTGCAGAGGCTTTAGGCACCCATTTTTCTCAAATACCCGAAAGGGGGGGAAATTAGCTAGCTTTGGGCTTAAGGCAATGGGTTCCTTAAGCCTCTGCAAAACTTAAGGCAGCTGTTTTTCCCCTCTAATTTCCCCTCCCTCACTGGAAGGTGGAATCTGCAGGCTCTAGTTGGGGGCTGAGACTGTTGTTTGAACACTCCTGCTCTAGGGCCCAGACAGACCTTAGCTTGTAAGAATTATTTATTATGGCCAAAGGCCACCAATTTGAGCTGATGACATAATGGGTGGTGATTCACTGTACCTGCTGACGGCATTCATCAGTTTTGCTTGTGACCTCTCCTTATATATATTAGAATTTTTCAATATAATAAAAGTATACAAAACAAACAAAAGAAGAGATAGTAAGATAAAAAGAAAGGAAATGAAAAAGAAAAAGAAAACATACAGTTATCCCTTCTGCCTTTCTTTCTGTTGAGTAATTATCTTAATCTTTTCCCTGTGCTCTTCATCCCTTCTTAATCCCTGAATCCCAAAATCAATATTTTCTTCTTTCAACAAAAAGCCCATATAAGGTTTCCAGTCTTCCAAAAAAAAACCAACGTTGTTGTTTCTTCTCTGACCAAACTGGTCAGCTTTGCCATTTCTGCAAACTCATTAATTTTATAATCCAGTCTTCCACTGTAGGTATTTAATTGCTTTTCCAACTTTTTGCATATAGTATTCTTGCTGCAGTTACCGTGTGCAGTGTTAATTTCCCATATTTATTTTCTAATTCCTTGTCCATAAAAACCAGTAGGAATAATTCTGGTTTCATCATGACGTTAGTCTGCAATATCTTTTGCATCTTTGTATGGATTTACACCCAAAGCTTGTGACTCCTCCTCAATGCAGCACCCTATGTGCCATTGTGCTGCCTTAGGGTATAGCATGTTCCTGTCCTCAAGTGAAAGAGTGAGCAGGAATTCAACTGGACAGCCTGGAAAGATTAATGGGGGAATCATATTTCATAGGGAGCTTACTGTGAAGATCCCTATACGGTTCAGAGAATAGCAGGAGATGCCCTACTGTTTTCAGCTATAAAGCAGGTGCCCTTCTTGCAGGGGGCCTATTCTGCCTTCCAGCAGAGCACAGAGAAGGAAGGAAGGGAAATCTAGCTTGAAAAAAGGCTCTCTAGTGGGGGTGGTTAGGCATTTTTAAGGAAGTGAGATATTTTGGTGGCTCCAGACTAAGGCTCTAGAGCTTCCTGTTGTTGCAGATGAGATTCAGCTCATAGCACCTTTCAGGGTCTGGGACTTGCTATTTAAGAAGTGCCCTGACTTGATCACAATCCATGGACAGCAAAACCTCTGGAGATAGGCCATAGGTCTGCAGTTTATACCCTAGGACAGTGTTTTTTAACTGTGGCAGCTTGAAGATGTGTGGACTTCAACTCCCAGAATTCCCCAGCCAGTAAGGCTGTCTGGGGAATTCT